CCGCACCATCTGTTGGACACGACTGCCAGCGCAGATTTCGTGAGCTGGCAAAGGACTGAAATAGTCAAGAATTCTGCAAGTATTTCAAAGTGCAGGCTCCTCATTAATTTTAATTTCCTGTTGGCTCCACAAGGAAAGAGTGAGCAGGGCGCGCACAACGTGCCACATGCACTCAGGTTCCTGCCGCGGGCACACCTGTGATCATAAACGCTTCCCCAGGGCCAGCCACGGAAACATCTGAGCTTTCCTGTTTATTTCTTCTTTCCCCGAGAAGAAACAAATCTGGAATATCTACAGTTATCTTCTCGTGCTTTGTGAACACTCTTGCAAACATCTGGAAATACTTAACAATAATCACTTAATTAATGCAAAGCTAATTGATGACAATAGGCTTAAATGCTTCACTCAGCTGAAGTGGGTTCCTCAGTTCACCCAAAGAGGGGCCGAAGAGAATCCGCTCTTTAAACGAGGTAGCTTCTACACCGGCATCTCCAAAAACATGACCTGTATTTGAGTAAATAAAGCCGATGACAGCACAGTGACACTGTCACAACCGGCAGAGGCTGCTGGCTGCAGGCCTTCCCTCAAGGCTCCCCCAGGGCCCGCGTGCGAGGGCCTGCCGAGGGCTGGTTGCTGCAGGTGTTTCTGCGGGCATCCTGCTCCCCCACTGCCCCCCCTCCCTTACCCTTCATAGCTGCCGGCTGCTCCAGGGGGCGAAAAGATCCTGGAAGGATACATTTCTCCCAAACAAGGGGCTACTCCTAACGCCCACGGGGGCTCCGGTGCAGGGCTGGGACTTTCTCTGGTTTACTGCTTTCTGTGTGTTGTAGCAGTGAGACTTTGTTGGTGGTGGTTGGTTGGTTTTTTGTTTCCCTACAACCAGACTGACTTGGCAACCCAGGAATCAGAGGTAAGGCTGTAAAGAACTCAGAAACATCGAGACAAATTTATACCTGGAGGAGGGACTTTCTTCCTTCTGCCACAATGATTGAGGCTTTTTGTCGCGCCTGCCCTGGAGAACTCTCATCCCTTAGCTCAAAAGAACAGCACCAATTGAATAAATATTTAAAAATCACAGTAATCAAAAAACGTTAGCTTACAATTAAGTGTGAGTCAAAAACAAACCATGGTTAATTTACCGAATTCCTTTTATACTAGTAATTATTGTCAATCCAATTTCTTTCTTTCTCTTTTTCTAATTTGGAATGAATTTAGTGGGTTAACAGATGGCTTTTAAAGTTTTTGTTCTTATTCCAAAATCTTTATGTTACCCAAAATATATCTATTTAAGAATGATACTGTACCTTCTGCAAAACATGATCGACACACTATTTAACACTAAACAATCTGGATGCTCAGGCTGTTTGGAAATAATTCTAACAAAAACTAAAACATTAGGCTGGTGCTATGATAAACAGATTTGCCTTTTACATTTGTTTTATGAATTTCACAGGCACACCCGAAACAACTTTCTTAGAAGAGTTCAAATAATTGGGTCAATTAGCCTAAATATATTTTATCCTAGCTTTATAAGACCTCCAGATTGGTGAAGGTAAAGTAATTCTCCTATCATCTCATTACATCCAGGAACATAAAATGAAACGACAGTTCACAGGAAATCCAGCCGACCAGTGCTAAAGAAGATACACACGCTGCAGACAGGCTCCGAGATGGGACTGCGCCCTGCCGCCCCGCTGCCCAGCAGGCGCCTCCGAGTGCCTTCCCTCCTCCAGGAGCCTGCCCTGAATGCCACAGGGCACTTCCCTCCTCCAGGAGCCTGCCCTGAATGCCATAGGGGCACTTCCCTCCAGGAGCCTGCCCTAAATGCCACAGGGCACTTCCCTCCTCCAGGAGCCTGCCCTGAATGCCACAGGGCACTTCCCTCCTCCAGGAGCCTGCCCTGAATGCCACAGGGGCACTTCCCTCCTCCAGGAGCCTGCCCTGAATGCCACAGGGGCACTTCCCTCCAGGAGCCTGCCCTAAATGCCACAGGGCACTTCCCTCCTCCAGGAGCCTGCCCTGAATGCCACAGGGCACTTCCCTCCTCCAGGAGCCTGCCCTGAATGCCACAGGGGCACTTCCCTCCTCCAGGAGCCTGCCCTGAATGCCACAGGGGCACTTCCCTCCAGGAGCCTGCCCTAAATGCCACAGGGCACTTCCCTCCTCCAGGAGCCTGCCCTGAATGCCACAGGGCACTTCCCTCCTCCAGGAGCCTGCCCTGAATGCCACAGGGGCACTTCCCTCCTCCAGGAGCCTGCCCTGAATGCCACAGGGGCACTTCCCTCCAGGAGCCTGCCCTAAATGCCACAGGGGCACTTCCCTCCTCCAGGAGCCTGCCCTGAATGCCATAGGGGCACTTCCCTCCAGGAGCCTGCCCTGAATGCCACAACAGGCACCACGTGTTCCCTTTCACTTCTCTTCCTTGCCACCCACTTTCCTCAGGGCGGGAGGGCAAGGCTTCGAGAGCCTGGAAATGCGGTCAGAACGACGTAGGGCTGTTCTAAGCAGCTCTGGGCAATGGCCAGGGGACTCACGTGAAGCCCCGAGACGGCATAAAGAGGGACGGTAAACACAGCCTCAGCACACTGGTTCCTCTGACGAGTCATGGTTTTCGATCTCCTGTATCTAATGTACGACGGGATGAGCAAGAGCCGGCGTCCCGCGTCACCAGCTGGCGTAAGTGGAACTCCGTCTGCGTGCAGCGCGCCCTTGCTTCGTGCGGAAGTGTCCGTGGACCTCACAGGCGGCCCTGCCCTCTGCTCGCCCCTCGAGCTCCTGTCTGTCTCCACTCACTACTGCTTCTAGCAGCCCTGCCTTCGCTCATCTCTTCTTCACTCCCACTCGCCAGGGCAGACACTCTGCGAATTCTTTTCCCCCCTTTTTTTATTGTGGTGAAATATGCATAAGTTAAAACCCACCATTTTAACCATTTCTAAGTGCACAGTTCAGTGGCATTAAGTACATTCACACGGCTGTGCCACAATCACAAGCATCCGTGCCCAGAACTTTCTGCATCGTGAGAAAGTGAAACTCTGTACCCACTAAACAGTAACTCCCCACCTCCCCTCGCCCCCAGCCCCTGGCAACCACCATTCTATTTACTCTGGAGACAGAGGAAGGGAGAGGGGGAAACATCGACGTGACAGCGAGACATGGCTGGGCTGCCTCCTGCACACCCCCTACCAGGGATCGACTGGCAACCGGGGCCTGTGCCCTGACTGGAAGCCAACAGCCACCAACCTTTCGGTGCCCAGGACGACCCCAACCAACCGAGCCACCCTGGCCAGGGCCCTAAGAATTCATTCTTTTGTGATGTTATTGTAAATGGCCACTATGCAGATCCTAAGCGCAGGTCTCAAGAAGCCTTACAACTTCTGCCATTACCCTCTTAGCAGGCGACTACTGCCACCTAACACCCGCTTGCCTGATGGGGTCATGTGACCTAGCTGGCTGTGGGGACAACTGCCACACACAGCAGTGAGGCAATTTTGGATCATTCAGCTCCAGTGAAGCTGGTGGATGACCGCAACGAGGCCAGCGAAAGAACCACTCAGCTAAACCCAGTCTAACTGCTTACCCACTAAAGTGTGCAAATAAAAAGTTGTTATTTTAAGTCAGTAAGTTTTGGGGGTGGTAGAAAAACTAATTGAAACTATTAAATAATTTTATCTATTATTTCTTAACTATAATTTATTCATTACTTTGTAGTCCATTTCATACTGTTTCCCAGAGGTTATTAAGATTTATTCTGAGACTTCTTTGATGCTAAATACTCTACATAATTCATCATGTTCATGAATGATTTAAAGCTTGAATGTCAGCATTCTAAAAAATTTATAATTTTTAAGAAAGTAGATAGCTTAAAACGAAATCTTACAAAAACTAGAGAAATACAGATTTATTTTTCTAATTTGTAACTTCAAAATTGAAAAACCAGTGAGTAGATATAATTAATGTTTCACACTAACCTGTGCTATTGCGAATATTTGCTAGCAATTATTACTAAATTTATTGAGGACAGACTTTGAAACTTTATTATCTGATTATCTGATGTAAAAAGCTTAAATAATCTTAATATTTAGGAGTAAAGTACTTAACATTAAAAATGTTTATAATCCCAAAGCATTCAGAGGCACACTGAGTAAGCAAAATGGCTTAAAGTTACTTAAGAAATGTAAAGAAATACATATATCTAAAATGTTGTTTACTTGCAAATAAATGTGTTTATTAATAAGTAGAGCTATGAAGGGCTGCAGTTACTTCATGTGGGGAAAAATCCTACAGAATACTATCCAAAAGTAACATACAAAGTAAAACAAGCTAAAGCAAAAATCTACTCCACAAAAATTTCTACTCCATTAAGAAACTCATCATGAGAAACTACTCTCAAGCTGTAGAAACAGTTGCTTTAGAACCGTTTGCTTGTTTTATATGCATTCTTTAAAAGAAATGAAAAGGAACAGGAGGAAGAAAAAAGAGAAAATGTAATAAAAGAGGCGTCACAGCCCACTTTAACACTGACGTTTACATGCTATCTGGATAAAAACTAGGACTATTATTTCTGACGAGCCAACTGGAATTAACACTCAAGTAGAAACGAGTTCAGTTAACCTTCAAAGCTGAGGCAAGTTTCTCCAGGTCCACGTCATACCTGTCCTTGTCTCGCTTGTTTCGGAAACTGAGTTTACAACTGTCCGAAGTGCCTCCCGCTTACCGCATCATTAGGAGCAGCTCGAGGCAGCGTCGTTTTCGTTCGAGGGTCCTAAGTGTTTCTGGACGTGGCTGTGCTTACTTAGCCAAGCCAGTTACCTGGGCTTCCCTGCCCGCACCCGCACCCGCACCCGCACCCGCACCGGGGGCTGCAGCGCCCCGCTCACATCCCTGGCACACACCGAGCAACGAGCGTGGGGACACCATCCACCGTGTTACACGCACCCGAACTCGCAACCCGACAAGGACAGGGCGGGAGGAAGCGCCCCCGAGCAGGGAAGGGTACTCACAAAGTCGAAGTCCCCGTCCTGAGGAACTTTCCAGTTATCCGGGAAGACATGTTTGGACACAGGGAAGGGCTGGCGCGCGGCCTGGCCGCGGTCCTCGTGGCTTCCACTCCTGGGGTCCTGCTTGTCGAAGTAGTCCATGAAGGATGGCCTCTGGGCGGGCGGCGAGCGGCCTCCTGGGGACAGAGCAGCGAGACGCTTTCAGGGAAGGGCACTTGCTCCCGCGGCGGTGCGGGAGGCCCTCACGGGTCTGGTCGGGTTCACGGCCAAGGCACTCAGCGGAGAACCCGGTGAACTGAAGTGCAACCAAGGACCAGGCGGGCATCCCCAGAATTCTCAGACCCCAGGGACACTCAGAACTTGGGCAGATCTTTGTCAGAGTTTCATCTGAAATCATTTCAGATGTATCTGAAACATGTCAAAGAAAGCATCTTTGAAACCTGTCCTGTTTTAAACAGCTACACCGAATCGCTGTGGTCACTGTACTCCACCATCGGCCATGAGGAGTTGAGGACTCGCCCAGGCCCTGCCTTCATCTCTGCCCTTCCTCACGGTCCTTCTAGCTAATCCTGCCTCCTCCTGGGTCCCGGCTCCCTTGTCATAGTTACACCTGCGTGTGACTCCTGACTCCCCGCCCTCTCTCTCCCTAAGCTCCACACCCCACTCACCCACTGCTTGCTAACGGACCGCCGGACCTCGGGTGATGTAGTCGCCTCGGACTTCCCAGCTCTAAAGCTGAGCCCAAGGCCTTTCCCTTCAGGCTCACTGCCCGGCTAGCAGTCAGCGCTGTTCACTCCAGGCCCAGAGACAAAGGCTGAGAAGCAACCCAGATTCCTCTCTTCCTGCCGGACCACACTGATCACTGGGGCCTTTTCATTCTAATTCTCACTACAGTTGCTCAAACCTAACCCTTTCCCTCGATCCAACACGGCCACCTTCCTAGTTTAGCTTCTAATCATTCCTTGCCTTGCCACTGGTCTCCTACTGGTCTCGCTGCCTCCTCCGGTTTTGTTTTAGCTCATGCCAGTAACACAGGGACCCTTCTAAATGCAAATCAAACCATGTCGTTCTTGCGCTCAGAGCCTTCCTGTGGCTCCTCGCTCTACACTGAACTGTTAGAGTGCAAATGAACCTTTGGAATAACCAGACTTTTAACTCCAGCTGGTATGGTCTCGATCAGTGGTTTTCAAACTGGCTTCTGTGAAGCTCTGGAGTTAACAAAGGTCCCAGACAGCACCCCAAGGATGCTCCCATACAGCCCTCCAGAGGGAAAGTTGTCACCTTCCCCTTGAACAGGCCCCGAGAGGGGAAGTACACCTCCCAGCAAAGAGGTGTGTGGGCAACTCGAAGTCATAGAAAGTGGGGGTTTTTAATGTGAACTTGAAATCTGTCCTATAATTTACATTCACAATCCAAGTAAATTCCTCTTTTATATACAAGTACATCTGCAGACACGGTTAATGGCTCGGCTCCTGTCTTGGCTGGCTGTCTTTCAGGTGAAACATCCCTAGTCCCTTTCTTAAGACGCGTTTTTCAGTTTCATCACCATCTTACTTGCCTATGGAGACGTTCCAGCCTCTCCGTGATCCCCTACAATCAGATGTAACACTGCTAATTGTGATCTGGCCCAGCTAGCAAGCACCTGCAATAGCACTACTGCAACTTAAAACTATAGGTACCATTATGAAAAGTAACACTGTTGGCTCATAAAGTAATTCTGGTCCAGAGAACACACTGCTAAAAACCTTTGTTTTCACTCTTCAGAAATGTGGGATGAAACTGAAGTCTGCTCTAAGCGGTGAGTCAGCATGTCTGGAATTCAGTCCGGACTTTACTAGAAATGTTACAAATGAACAAAATATACAGGAGAAAGTGTAATATTTTAATGATCAATAAACGTTTTAAAAAGATTTTGTGTTTCTGGTCTTTTTATCTTCAACTGTCTTTGCTAAAATCTCCTATTGCTAAGAAAAAGGAATCAGGGAATTTCACAAGGTTACATTACAGGCGTTTGGACTGGACACACACAGCCCACAGACGCTTTCAACCGATTTTAAGAACCCTTGGTTCGCGTCTGGGCTTCATCATTACGAGAGGTTTTATCTTCAGAATTTAAATTTGGTTCCTATGGCAACCTTCTATTCCGTAACAGAGTCCAGAACTTAAACCTGTCATCCTCACCTTTGACCTTTCTGTAAGAATAAATAATAAAATACTACAAGTGTAACTCAATAAGTTTTCTATAAAGTAACTGAGCAAATCAAATCATGGGGAGGGGAGGAGATAACCCCTAGAGGAAGCCTTAGCTCAATAGTCTTCCTTTAAGAGATGAGTAATTTTTTAACAGAATTGTGTATTTATTCGTGTTGTACGTACTTATTTTAATCAGCTAGACTTAAGGTGGGTCACATGTATAAAGACACCTAAAAACTTTAACATCTAATACAACAAGGGTTATCAATGTTTATGTAGAAAACTCAAAATCAGAGAGGAGGCAAAGATGGTTTCTTTGGGAATAACTCCTGTGAAAGAAACCTGTGGATTATCAACTGCACTGGTCAAGTGTATAGAAAATGTTTCATGGAGGCAAGTTTCTATACATCATTCTTTAAAAAATAAATCTGGCTTATGTCGGTGCTTTGGCAGCCTTTGACTCGACTGCAGGAACACCCCAATCTGGAGATGACTTCCACTGCTGTACTGGTTTCACTATCACTGCATTTCAGGGGTGTCACAGTCTTAAGGGTCTTTCACAGGCTGACCTAAAACCTGCGGTAAAATGCCTGTTGGTTCTACACTCACTCAAAAACTTGGAAAATAACCGTTCCTAGGTTAGAAATAAACATTTTGTTATTTAAAAATAACCAAAGTGTAAAAATCAACGTACATAAAAGGCGGCAGTCTAGTCCACTAGATTTTCCTTTGCGGATGACTTTAGAGCGAGATACACTGACACCTAATTTTTTATTCAAATGTATGTGCTTGCACCTCCAAATATTTTCCATTGTTTAAAACTGAGTATTAAAATTTAGAGTACATCTTTGCTATACAGAAATAATTTTAAAAAAACAAATTTTTTAATTTCCAAGGAGAAAATAGGTAACATTTGTTTTAAAAGTTAACGGGAGGGGCAGCTGTAAAAGCGCAGCAATGTTTAACCGCACGATGTTAAACACATCCCACAGCGTGCAGCCGAGTCTCCAGGGAGATGCATGCGTGTTCCCAGGAGCAGCACAGAGGATGCTTCTCACTTACAAGTTATTTTCCAAAAAGGGACAAAAAGAAATGTAGGCCCTTCAACAGGAGAGTGAAGCACAGAATCTTAAGATAGCAACCACTGTCACTTGTGATTGTGGTTGCCATGGAAAACACTTTTTTTTAAACAGAGAAAGAATAATTACAAAAAATTGACATCAATTTCTCCAGCTGCAGCTGAATTCTGACTCTACTCATAAAAATGTATTTTTATTTTAATAATAAACTTAATGTTCAAAACTACCTTGTTCCTCAATTTTGTCCCCAATTCTTTCAGCCACCTGCTATGGAACTGAAAACCCATTAGCAATAAAAAAAAAAAATCATCATCATCACCATACAATCCCTTTGTGCATGTGTAATTTTAAAGAAAAAAATTGTTTTCCCTTCCTTCACACATTCCCCAAAACATATACAAGGAAGACTAAATTGTATGAATTTAATGCCTTTAGAAAATATGCCAGTCCACCTACAATTACTCATAAACTTTCCTAATTTGCATGTCTTCTAAACAAGTGAAAAGTCTTCATGGAAATTCAAATATATAAAGGAATTTTTAAGGTACTTTAATAAAATATAATTTGTTTAAGTTTTAATTTCTTAGCATGATTATGACAAAGTCAGTCAAGTGTAGGGAATGAAATAACAATTAATCATAACCTTAGCATAATATATTTAGACATCAAAGGGATTTATGAATATTACCTAATTTGTCCTACTAAAAATATTTTAAGATGTGGGTGATCCACCTGATTAATGATCTTGGAAATCTGTCCTTTAATTTGTTGCCAAGAGGATAATTAATATATATATATAATAGAATGTTAATACAGAAGCCACTGACATCAGCTTTTTCTTAACTTCATCAGACTGTATTTTAAAACAAAGGAGGGTACAGACAACATGGAGAAGATCCAGAGGCTCTTCATAAAAAAGATTAAAAGCTTAGAAAATAATACCTGTACAAAGGTTAAAGGGACTGAAATTGTTCAGCCAGGAAAAGAAAAGTCTAAGGGTATAATTTAGTAAGTGTCCAAGTATATCCGAAGGGTTCTTGAACAGAAAATAGCGACCAGCTGTTTTCCATTTCCAGTGAGGGCAGAAAAAAGGAAACAGACGAATGGAAGCCCCAGGATTTTAGTTAAATAAAAGGAACGATTTCCTGCGCGAGTAATGAGCACTATAACGGCAACTGAGGGGCTATGGAAACCCTTCTTCAGAGGCCTTTACAAGACAGCCAAATTTTCATTTGCACAAGGGAGGCTAATGTTTACACACTTGTCTGTGTTCTGTGCTGGTAAAACTGGTATCCTGCACTATACTATACAGAATATCTGCACTAACAGGCCCAAGCTGGGTCACATCACTGACCAAGAGAACACAAAAGAGCAGACTGGTACCCACAAGTGACTCCAACCACGTAGCCACACACTAGTACCCCCGTGGAGGAAATGAAGGGTTTCTAACTGCCCAGTAATATCAGCTGCAAGTGGGACCTGTAGTTCACTGTTCTCACCTTCACCGCTATGTTGTGGGCAAGATTAACATTACCTATTAAAGACGCATACCACAGTTTTTTAATGAAAGAATGGTAAGATCTCTGGACCCTAAACTGTCTTATAGGGTCTTCTTGATCTACAGGGCACGTGGCTTGTACCACAATACCAGCTGGCTTTGGAGGCCACAAGACCATCCAATGCAGTTGGGTAAGCATGTTAGGGATGCAGAAGGTCCACCCTAGTCAGAAGCCTGGCTAGGAATTTCAGGAAACCCAAGTCTTAGGCTGCTTTCCAGAGCGAAGTCTCAGGAGACCTACCAGTTGTGGGATATAGAAAAATTCATTACCCACCGCCTCCCCATGGTTAACTATCTGGCAAACGTATATAAAGAAGTGCTAGTCGGTGGGACCATCTCTCTTCATCACTCTGGAAGCGATGACATTACATCAGAAAGGATGTCTCAGTCGCCACTTTAGCCCCTGCAGGCCCCTGGCACTGTGCCTCACGCATGACAAGCAGCAGTAAATACGCACTAAACTAAGTTTTATGCATGAATAGCCCCATCTCGCGATCCTTGTTTCTAATATTTCCTTTTGTCCCACCCACCTCAGCCCTTACTTCCTCTAACTTGTACCCCTGGGTCGCTGTGTGGTCTAACTGATAATTCAGACAACATGAAATAATATTATATTGTATTTACTGGACTAGAATTTTAGGTTCCCTTTTCTTATCGGGAAAGTAAATGTTAAAAACATTATCTTTTTATCTGTAAAACACTACAAATTAAATTATGCTAGGGGTAAGCATCCTTCAACAAACCAGTTCCATAACCTTAAGTTAGAGATGTGTTCCCTTCTGCTATATTAAAAAAGTATTCTTTAAATTTATTTGTGCCCCACCCTTTTTACTGTTTAATAAAGCAAAGAAACAAAAAATTCCACAACTGGCTATCAGAAGGAACAGAACGATCCCGGCTTCTCCAGAAGAACAGTTTCAGAACAGAACATGGACGTCCCGGGGAAAAAGCACATACGTTTCACGGTGCCGTCCTCCTCCTCTTCGCCCTCGCTGTTGATGACCATGGTGCCCAGGTCCGAGTCGAGCATGGTGCTGCTGTGCTCGATCATGGTCTGCGCGCCCTCGCTCATGGTGCTGGCGGCCCTCATGGTGCCCACGCCCTGCGGGCCGCTCTTCACCATGGTGTGGGAGTCCAGCTCCTCCTCCTCCTGAAAGCACAGGGCAGTGAGCGCGCTCCTGTTGCTGCCATTGTCATGCAAGGACAAGCACACACGCTGTCGCAAGAGCTAAAGCTTTAGGTAAGTAAAGAGAAATCGACAGAAATCGATTTTTAAAATCAGGATTAAGATAGGTAAACTGTCAGCGAATGCGCACGGAGAACACAGGGACAAAACATTAAAGGCAGAACATGTTGACGCTACTCTGTCAGCTATAATAAAGTTTATAACCTTGTACAAAGGCCATTAGCTTTTCAGAAAAATTGTGATAAGTATTCGTGACATGAAACTGAACATTTTAATCATTTTTCAGTGCACAGTTGTGTAACACTGAGCACACTCCAGTGCTGTGCCATCGCCACCTGCACCCACTGCACTGCACCCAGCACGTTTCATCGCCCCAAACAGAACCTCCGCGCCCTTGACAAAGGAGCCCTTCAGTCCCCCCGCCCCCAGTACCTGGGAACTTCTATTCAGCGTCTCTATGAATGTGCCTACTCTAGGTGCATCATGTAAGGAGAATCACGCAATACGTGGCCTCTTGTGTCTGGCTAATTTCACTTAGCATAATGTTTTCCAGGTTCATGCATGTTGTGACATGCGTTAGCATTTCTCTCCTTTTTAAGGTTGAATAATATTCCATTCTGTATATATATTTTGTTTACCCACTTATTTGCTGAGGAACATTAGGTTGTTTACATCTTTTAGTTATTTTAAGTAATTTTCTGTTATTATAAATTATTTGTAACACATAATGCTGCTATGAACACTGGTGTACAAGTATCTACATGAGTTCCTGCTTTCGATTCTTCTAAGTATATACCTAGAATTGCAACTCTGTACCATGGTAATTCTATTTTTAATTTTTTGAGGAACTGCCAAATTTTTTTCCACTCCTACCACTAGTGCACAGTGTTCCCATTTCTCCATATCCTTGCCAATGCTTATTTTCCATTTTTTTAATAATAGCCATCCTAATGGATATGTGGTTTGATTTGCACTTCCCTAGTGACCAGTGGTGTTGAGTATCTTTTCATGCACTTATTGGCCATTTGTACATCTTCTTGTATAGAGAAATGTGTACTCAGGTCCTTTGCCCATTTTTGATATAATTTGTCTTTGTCATTGTTGCATTGCAGGAGTTCATTATATAGTCTGGATATTAATCTTGCAAGTATCTTTCCCCATTTATAGGTTTCTTTTCATTCTCTTGATAGCTCCCCTAATCCACAAAAGTTTTTAATTTTTGATGAAATCCAATTTATCTTTTCTTCTTTTGCTGTGTACACTTTTCTTGTCATATCCTAGCCATTAGCTTTTAAATGTAAATTCACAGAAGAACCAACTAAGTAATGAAATATGAACAAAAGATGCTCTTTAGAATGTTCAGCAAAATATAAACTGGAATAGGGCATACAAATAAACTACCAAATTGTTTGAGAGACCAAACAATCCAGTATTTTGGAAGGTTTGATCATGAACTTAAAATCCATTTATATCTATTCCACTTTAAGTAGAAACACACAAGCACAACCCGTCTGACAGAGGTCAAAATGCAAATATGGAGACAGGATCACCCATGTTGCTCTCGGCTGTTGGACAGCCCGTCCTCCTGACCCTACACAGTAAATTCAGCCTGTCTCACAGTCTTCTGTTCTTCTTTCCTGAGCCTCCCTCTTTCAGAAGACTTCTTCATTCCTATGCCTCTATCTAATACGGTGGGGACTCCCAAATCCTGAAATCTTCCTGACTTTACTATTTAAATACTTAATGATGTTTAAAACTCAGCATTCCCAAGTCAAATAGCATTTCATCCATCCCTTTAGCCCCTCCAGTCTGCCTCCATCCCCAAGCACCACCACCACAAAGAACAGTAATCTTCATTAGCTGTCTGAGAGTAAAAGTTCAATGTCTTTTTAGGTTAATTCTACTGAAGATTCTATAACACTCGCAGTCCTTGCACGCACTAAAAGCTAAACATTCCTGACTGGGTTTTAATGACCCTGATGTTATTTTAGTTAGCAAATCCTATCTGCACACTGTTCACATATCTTGCAACATAGTCAGGCTGACCTTAACTGAGTCCCTAGCTGCCAAAAACCCGTATCATGAGATGCTTAAGCCTTCCTCTTTGCTCACGTCTTCTCTACGCAGAACGCCCTTAACTCTTCATTTTAACTAAATTGTGCTTAGTCCCAGATCAAGTACATATTATCTTCATGGCTAGTTCAGTTTTTATTAATTATCTTCTTTTCCAAACTTCTGTAGAATTTATCATCTGCATTACACACTTTTGCTTTTAAATTTAAGATCTCATATTGTAACTGTTTATAAACATAAGTACCTTATAGATAAGAATGCCTTACAGTTGTGATTCTGCTAAAGTATTCTGTTCAGTATCCCATTATACAGTAAGCATTCGTTATATATTTACTTTTTCACAAAATTGTAAAATCAGGGACCTTTAGTAATTCAAACCCTCATTTTATATCTTAAACTGAGGCCCACAGAAAGTACAAGATTTTCACAAGGTCACACACCTACTTAGTAGAGCTGGAAAAAAAAACAAAAAACTGTAGAACTTGAACTAAGAAACTAGTTCCTTCATTTCTTAGTCCATTATTTCACTAAATACATGTACTTACTTACATTTAAATTTTGATCTACTTGAATGCTTAAGTTAGAGGCACAGGCTTACAATTTTAACAGCTTATGTCACCAGCTCTTATTCCCAGAGTCCCATACAAATTATCTGGTCCATCCTAGTCAAAACCACTCTCTTCTCTCAGTTGGCCTATTAAAACAGCCTCCTCACAGTTTTTACTGCTTCCAACTCTTGCCCCCTTTAGTCTCCCACACAAAAAGCAGATTGATCCTTTCAAAAGACAAATCACATTTGGCCTCCCATCACACTCAGAAAAAAATCCAAAATCTTTACCATGGCCAAATGTGATCTGGCCCAGTAGTACCTGCCAATCCCATCTCCTAGCACATTCCTTCTCACTCATCAAGTCCCAGCCCTGCTGGCCTGTTTGCTCTTTCTAGAGCATTCTACGCATAATGCTCCTCGAGCTTTTCAGTTGGCCAATCTCTCAGCCTGGAATACTCTGCCACACCGGCGTGGTCCTCTACTTCAATCAAGTCTCCCCTTCGGGGCCACCGCCTCACTGAAGCCTCCATGACTCACCCTTTATGCTCTAGAGCCCATGCCTGGCCTCCTCTATCACTAGAATGCAGGTTTAGTAAATACAGAGGGCTTCTTTTTCACTGATGAATCCACAGTGCTCAGACACCAGGCACATAGTAGGTATCGGACAAAAAACTATTTAATGAATGAATCAACTTCTATTTTCACTTACTAATTCATTCAATGAGCATTTCTTGTACATTTACATGTTAAAATGAACAGGCATTGAGATACAAAGATGAATTAGAAACAGTTCTGCTTATTTTGGGTTTTTTAAAGGAGTCTGAGGTCTAAGAGAAACTGACTCACACAATAACAATAAATTACAAGGTATTTTAAGTGCTGTAAGGAAAGTGTTGGCAAGTCCAATGGGAGTATCAAGAAGAGAGCCTCTGGCTCTGCCTTTCATAAGTGAGGAAAGCCTCGCAGGGGGCTGCCCTTAAATTAGGCCTTGAAGGATGAGTAGACTAGATAAGTAAAATATGTAAACAAGTCTCAGTGGGTGGTTTATAGTACAACTTATTTTTTACAACAGAACTACACTGACATCCCTCTCCGTTCAGAAACGACACTGAGTTAGGCGCCACAGCACTTTGCGCTTCTGCGGATCACACGCTATGATCCAACGCTGTAGCTGTCTGTACGTGTGACCTGTCCAAATCTCCCATTAGCCCCTGAAATCTATACAGGCGGTAACCAGATCTTAACAGTTATATTCTTGGTATCAGTACAAAGCCTGTTCCTGTTACATAACCTATTAAATGAATGTAAAGTCCTCACTTTGAGGTGGTGCCAAGGCACAGAACTACGGACAATGTCACGTAAGGTTCTAGTGCAGAGCTTTATTTAAACTGACTTATTGTTTTAAAAACAGAATGGCTACTGAAGAAACTTTGGGAGGAAAAAATAATGCTATTGACTGGAATTACAGTTAGGTTCATCTAACAACGATTAAAATACTCATCATCAATGAGTTATAGGCACTATGGTAAGGGTTTACTGTAGGGCTGCGTCCTCTTATCCTCTGATTCCTCCTGTGAGATATTTTTATCCCCATTGTACAAACGACACCCCTCAAGTTCAAATGGGTCCGAGGTCATACAACAAATACGTGGATAAGCAAGGATTCTAACCAGGTCATTCTAACTCTACAGCCCAAGATCTAACTTCCAACTGGACAAGGCTTTTAAATTATCTACAGAATTTCTCAAGTCTAATTTATCTTATATTACAGGTTAGCTAGAGCACGTTCCATTTTGCTAAGAGATGAAGAAACTAACATACATAAATAAACTGATCTGTACTTGTTCAAAAAGCTAACTTTTTAAAAAGTTGGGATTTACTCCTTCCAGTAGATCCCACTGAAGAGGGAAGGAGGGAAAACGCTGATTTTCTATCAGTTCTTTTTAAAACTCTACTGCTGATTTAATATTGTATTTTATCGTGGTTACAACCAGTTTATTCCCAAAACACTAAATCTATTTTTATATGTGTGAGTCATTGTCTTTTATCTTGGTAAGATGCAGTGCTGTGACCATTAAACTTAACAAGAAACATAACATCTGGGTGGTGTGAAATAATGCTGTTAGTCTTCCTGTGTTCTACACTAGAGCTGAACCTACAGAGATAATGACGCCCGCACCTCTGGATTCACACAACTGGCTTCAATAATCTGTAAAATTACAAAAACACTGAATCAAGTTTGGAAGGGGTCACTTTTACTGCTTATCACTATTATTATTATGATTAGTCCTTACCCGAGGATATATTGTTCCATTGATTTTTAGGGAGAGTGGAAAGGAGT